TATTTTGGAAGAATGCCCTTTTTACACCGCAAGATTAAAAGATTTTGGAATACCCCAGAATATATAAGCATCCCTGGGAAATCAAGAAGAAATCGTTACCAAAGTCATCAAGTTCCTGGATAGTGAAAGACTTAAAAAACACATTTGACAGGCTTTTTTTTTAATTTATTTTTTTATTTATTAATTTTTTTATCTATTTATTTTTATTATATTTTCTCTAATTGTTATTTATTTATTTATTTTTTCACTTGATTTCATTTCATTTTAAATTCATTTGTTTATTAATCTCAATTCATTTATTGATTCTACTGCTATTTTCTAAAGTTTATTTATTTATACATTTTTTATACATCTTATTACCTATAAATGTCTATTATTATCCTTATTTATTCTATCAATCCATTTCTTTATTTATTTTATTTTATTTTTTTTTGTACCAATCATCCAAATAGTATTAAATGGTGTTATTTAGTTGATCGGGCGCTTATGATCTGGATGTTTTGCGCCTAGACATCAAAACAAACAAACAAGAGAACAGCGCTCTGAACTGTGTTCTTAGAGCTATGAGGATCGCTGCTATCTCACCGTCAAAACTTGTACCATCCTAACCCACCGCAGCACTGAACTGAAACTCTCTCGAGTAAACTCCTGCCCCAGCATTTTTAACGGCTGATTCAGCTGATCCGTCGCTATTAATACGAAGCCAATCCTGAGGAGGGTACTTTTGAGCTATAGTTCCCAGTGCTATCGCTTTTAGCTCATATTCTGGTGTTTCTTTTTCATCTACCTTATGGAGGAGCCGCAGCTCTGCCCTGCTTGCGTGGTTGTGGATTGGGAGCTGTGCCTGTATAAATGGCTCCCTTTCTTCACAGTCCAGCCCTCTTTCTTCAAGCAAAGCCTTCGCCTTCAGCATGAAAGATTTTTGGGCCGTTGAGTTGGGATTTAGTATTTTTTTTCAAAACTCTGGATTCGTTCTTCTCATTCGCTCGTAAAGACACATTGCAGCTTGTTCATGCCGTTTCGAAAGGGTCGTTCTACTGTGGTCTGCAGCTCCATAGCTGCAATAGGACTTGAGCGCGGTGCGCCCAAAATTAAATGCAGTGCTTTGTTCTGCTGGCTGTCCAGTCTTTTCAGGGATGCATCAGCCGCTGTACAGATGACTTCAGAACCGTATTCCAGTACTGTTTATAAGTAAGTATTGCGATCGTGAACATTTTCGAATCTGAGTTTTCAGCGAAAATGCGCGTTTTGAAGTCCTCTGAGTCCTAATAACAATGTCCCACAAAATGGTGTGTATGTGTGTGTGTGTGTGGGAACAGCCTACCTCAAAAAAGGAAAAATGGCACGGAACTGAAATGAGGTGCTACTTAATATAATTCATTTCACACATTTTTACGATTTTCTCAAAAACAGCTCTAACGACTTTGATTAAGTTCAGTAGATCAGTGTATTTTTAAGCAGTTTTTAATATAAAATTGGTTTTTATCTCATTGATGTTCTCTAGCATAGCTTAAATGGATAATTTTCAATATTAGCTATTTCTGAAGTACTTTTAATTTTTTTTATTTGAATTAATTAACCCTGTCACATTAATCTTTAATATAAAAAATAGTTAAATATGAAATATGAAAGAATTTGATGGTTAACTAAAGGAGAAATAAAAGATCGTAACGGATAATAGTTGTAAAGGAAGAAGCAAAGAAACGCGAGCGCGTCCCAGCTTTTCATAAATGCTATCGTTGGTATTATTTAATGTTTAATTGTACGTATACAATACAACGATATAAAAATTAAAGTTTGTCTATATAATGGTATTTAAACAGGTGGTAAGTGAAAGTTGTGTGAATAAATTATTGAATCGAGCAGATTTTCTTAAATATTGTATCAAGTCTGGCTGTTAATTTTGATAGATTAATAACAAGAAAAACTAATCAAGCAAATTAGCAACTAATGGCTAATATGTCAGATTTGCTAGATCCAATGCACCGCAGGTGTACAATATATACTTTTGAGTGAATAAATATTAAATAAGTAGGGATAAATTCCTATAATATAGATCAGGTTGAAAAACACAGTTTACGCAAATAAATATTTAAAAAATCAGTATTTTTCAAATTATTATTTTTTTTTATATAAATGGAATGTGTGTTTATGCAATTGGGTATATTAAAATACATCCCAGATCATACAAAAACAAGAAATTAAAGTTTAATTAATTGAAGTCAAATTTGATGAAAACAGGGTGTTGGATAAAGGAGTATTACAAAATGAAAATACAAACCTTTCTCCGGTTAGTTTCCTCAAAACTGGGAATTAAGAGAAGGGAATGAAATAAAACAAGTAAAAAAAAATGAGATCTGTAAACATGAAAAAACGTATCCACAAAACAATACCCAATAAAAATATTCATTTAATTAAAGATGGAAAGATAAAAACTTACCCTTCTTAATGTTTACAATATTATATTGAATATAAAAAATGCTAGGTACATATAAAGCTTTAAAAAAAAAAAAAAAAATGAGCCATTGTATAAAAATTAATAGAAATAAAATTAAACATAAACACAGTATTCAATTTATGACATAACAAATAATTTATGACTTTTTTTAAAGGGAACTTGTTTGTCCATTCAATAGTCCTCTTTAATCAAATATTTTTTTAAGTTATCGCTTCATATTCAACAAAAATCATGACTTGCATAAACAAACAGAAATCTTAAATATCCTATTTGTCTGCTAGAAATTGAGCAAATCCACTCTCTTCCACTTCTTCACCTATTGAATTTTTAATCTAAATCAGAGTTAACTAACACTCTGACTAACGATTCTAATCCTATATTCACAAATTCCAGCAGGTATCTCAACATTTTTGTTTATATAATTTATATGATATTCGCCATGATAAGGATTTTTTATTTTACAAAAAACTTTGTTAAAATTTACATTTTTTTTATAATCTTGTAAGATAAAAGGAAAGTAATCGTAGTTATCTTATTTTCTTCAAAATCAATTTTCATCTCTGTCTTCAATTGCTGAAAATTATTCGTTTGAAAGTATTATGTTTAGTCTTCTCGGATTTAGCTTGAGTGTACAAAATGTTCTTATCCCACTAGATTTATGGCCCTACATAACATAGCTGTTTGAAAAAATAATTTTCAGCAATTACCAAATGTAAATGAACACACAAATTGGAAATGACTTATGTATAGAGCCTTTATCTACATCAATTAATATATAACATTATTCTAAAACAAGTAAAAATAATCAAAAATAATTTTATAATAAAGACCATTACAGGACAATAAATACTGCTTGAATTTTTACATAATATTCCTCTGCGAATGGCAGGAAGTATGCAGAGAGGTGAAAAAATCAGGTGCTGGAAATTCTGTTATATGATTTCTTTTTTTTTCTTTTAATGTTATTAAAATTATTAATGTTATTAATTTTATTTTATGTTATTATTATTATTATTATTTTAATGTGTATACCTCGAGGAAAAGATAATTTTCTAAGCGATGGCTCAATCACTGAATTTGATGAAAAATCAATGTAACAAGATATGACATACCGACAAAAAAACAAAAAAAAAAAAACACTTTTCAGGAATAATATATAAGGTGAGAAGAATAGTTGGGGTGGTCAGTCAAAAAGAAAGGCAAAAAATAAATGATTATATTTATTTTTTACATATACCGACATTTCGACCTGAAGTTCAGGCCTTCATCAGGGCTAAGAAAATAACCAGATAACAAGGTATGAGAAACATAAGTAGTGATGGTAAAAAAACAAAAAAAATAATAATAAAAAATAAAAAAAATAAATATAATAAAAATAAATAAATATAAAGTAAAATGAAATTGTTAGAATAATGACTAAGAACTAAGAGATAAATAATAATAACGGTTACAGAGTGTGGAATGATGAAGTAGGCATAATCAAAAAGGGTGACATAAGTGTTACAATGGGAATCTTAGAATAAAATGTAAAACATAAAAAAGAAATATGAAGTTATATAAGAAATGAAAATAAATAGTAAAATTAAAACATTGAGAATGGAGTAGTTAGATAGAAAATTGAGATATTGTAAAGTCTAACAAGATGTACAGACAATGTATAATATAATAAAGAGTTAAAAACAGAGAAAAGGAATGAAAGGAAGGAGGGAAGAAATTGAGAAAGCTGAAATAAGAAAGAAATAAAAAAAAGTACTACCTGTCTTCTTAAGTGTTGCAGGGAGAATAAAAGTCGTTACAAGGGAGGGGGAGAGAGAAGAGATGTGTAGGTGGCGTCATCTCTAACGGTTAGCCGACGAAGTTTGAACTAAAACGCTGGAAGCATAAATAGGTACGAGAGATAAATTACTCAGAAAAATTATGGAAAATTGAATGAACTGATGAAGGCCTGAACTTCAGGTCGAAACGTCGGCATATGTAAAAAATAAATATAATCATTTATTTTTTGCCTTCCTTTTTGACTGACCACCCCAACTATTCTTCTCTTCATTATCCACGACAGTGAACCAATTACCAATTATGAATATATAAGGTCATTTAATTTAATATAAACATAGTTTGTTTAATCACTAACAGCCTTGGTCAATAATGCTTATTTTATTCGTTATTTAAAAACATACTCAAAGATGTTTGATAACACTACAACTGTTGATTAAATGAAGTCGATTAAATAATTTGTAAGAAGTTTAAGTTTTATCCGCAAATCTCAATATCACCTTAAAGATATTACCTTTCTTAACAACGCCTCTGTGGTTGTAAGTTGTGATATTTTTCACTGCAATTTCTAACATATTTATTCTGAATATGTTGCAACTAACAATGCAAAAGGACTTGCCAAGTCCAAGAAACCTAGACATCATTGTTATTTACAGAGTTCTATCTCACATATAAAAAATATAGAGTAAAGTGAAAGTATAAATGTCATAAAATGAAAAATATCTATACAAACAACAAACAGATAATAAAAAAAAAACACAATGAACTTACATCAAATTATCTTTATTACAAATCCTATTGATTTAAATCAATCAATTTATATATATCTTACAGTTAAGGTTAACAGTAAAATCCTTAAACAAAATTACAGGAACATTAAATGTATCCAATTTTTATTGCCGAGTAAATAAAAAACAAACAGGCAAGAAGCAGATTCTCTGAAGAGAGGACTGCAATCCCCGCATTTGTGGGTGTCGGTTTGCCCGTAGGTGGCGCCACTGTAGTTTTGTTGCCGCTCGCTGACTTCTCCAGAGTTGGGTAGCTGGGAAAGGTGGCCAGTCCGCAGGCGTTACCTTGGTTCCTTGCTATCCTTACGTATCCATCTTCTCCCCATTTAGTACTCCAGGAGTTCTTGACAATCCAAAAATCCACGTTGGATTCTGTTCCGTATCCCACGACCAGAACTGCGTGGGTGAGTTGAGTACCGCACCCATCACTCGTCAAAATGCCTGTTACAAATAAATATTATGCAGTGGAAGAATATATTTTCACTGAGATAAAGTCTTAGTTTTCTTTTTTTTTTTTTTTTTTAACTTTCTTTGTTGAATATTAATACATTCTGCCACATTGAAGGGCATTAATATTAAGGCTACATGATTCATTCACACAATATGTACATACAATTAATATCAATAATAAAGAAAAAGAAATATAAAAAAAAAAAAATAAAATAAGTAAATTGGTATGCCTGTGTACAAAAAAAAAAAGAAATAATAGATAAAATCTAGATGAAATTAAAGTAAATAAATCACATTCACACCTATGTACAATATTTACATTCACCCAGGGGACTCTGAGTCATAGCCTATTCCCCGACGTGGAGCCAAGGCAGGACTCCACGAGATCCCAGTGCTTCTCTCTCAGCCGCGACACTGTTATTTAAAACCAGTGGAAACTGATGGAGGGCACTATAGCAACAGACGCTCATGTGGCTTGAGTGGAGAATCTGGCCATTGCCAGTACTCCAATATGTACATATTTACAAAAGATCGCGGGGCCACTGCCGTTTTAACCACCGGGGAGGATTGTAGGGATGACTGGAGCTGGATAGGGATTGTGCTACAGGATTTGGATGATGAATGAGTTTCTGGTGAAATTTGAAAAAATTTTCTGGGATTAGGTCAATAACAAATGGGATATGAAGGTCATTATGGAGGGTTTTGTTGGATACATAGAAGGGAGCATCGACTATTGTTCGGAGGATTTTAGACTGGAAGGATTGAATGCGTTTGATGTTAGAAAGTTTTGCTGTCCCCCACAGTTCTATTCCGTAGGTCCAAATAGGTTTCAGGATTGTCTTGTAGATTAATAGTTTGTTGTCGACTGAGAGTTGAGATTTTCTATTCAATAGTCTATATAGTTGACCGTATCGTCTGTTAAGTTGTTGTCTTTTAAGTCTGGTGTGTGGATTCCATGTTAGTCTTTTGTCTAGAATAAAGCCAAGACACCGGACTGTGTCGGACAGAGGAAGTGGTATGGGGTTGAAGTTGACTGGTGGACAGGAATTGCGTCGAAGGGTAAAAGTAATATGTTTGGATTTGGATTCATTTACTTGGATTCACCACTTATCTTAGTTTTCTAGCTCTGTATTTTAGATCTCATTGAATAAATCAGTTTCCGTTTCCAGCAAACCAATAACATAAATTTGTGATTCTTTTCCATTAACTTATCTTTACTTCTATATCACTTATCCGATTTTAAATTAATAAAAATGTCGAAATTTATAGTATTTGAATAAATAAAAACAAATAATCAGACTACCCAAGAAAAGTTTCATCATCTATTTTTATTACCCTTGATTTATGTTTTTCTTTCATTTCAATAATGATAGTTTTTTCAAAATGGTTTGACTTTTTTTTTTTATATCTTTGATATCTTCAGTGAAAATATATATGATTGAAGATATTTAATATTTTTGATTAATGTAATTTATGGCCAGATGTGTTTTTTTTACGTTAATGAAAGCCGGTAAAAAACTAGTACTCGAAATAAACGTGGATAAAACAAAATATATGGTTAGCTGCAAAAATGGCGATACTACTTTTGATATCAATATAGATGGTAATATATTTGAACAGGTAGATGAATTTAGGTATCTAGGTTCTACGATAACTAGAAAAAACGAAATTGAAGAAGAGATTAAGGTTAGACTGAAGGCGGGAAATGCTTGTTATTTTTCTGTGACAAAACTACTCAGTTCGCCCCTCTTGTCCCGAAACTTAAAAATTAGAATCTATAAAACAATTATCTTGCCTACAGCTCTTTATGGATGCGAAACTTGGCCGCTTACACTAAGGGATGAGCAGCGTCTTAAGGTTTTTGAAAATAAAGTATTGCGTAGAATATTCGGACCGACGAAGGATGAGTTAACCGGAGAGTTCAGACGGTTACACAACGCCGAATTGCGTGAACTGTATCCGGGTAATATAATTGAGGTAATTTCGTCGCGGCGAATCAAATGGGCTTGTAAAGTTGTTGGGCTTAGTAACGAGAGAATTCCTAATATTTGTTGTGCCGAATGGTAAGCGTCCGAGGGGTAAACCGAAGCGAAGGTGGCAAGATTGCATTAAAGTCGATCTGAAGGAACTGGGTTTGGACGGCGAACGATGGAGGGAGGTGTGCAATAAGCGATTGGTGGTGTCAGCATCGAACCTTCGGGTTCGCTAAGCCTTTTATTATTATTATTATTATGTGTTTTTTTTATTTTTTGTTCATAATTGTTATTCTTAAGGAACCTCGCCCCAAAATAAAGTTCATTTTCTATTTCTATATCGTACCTTTTTCGTAATACATAAATTTTCTGCTACCAGCTTTCACAGCGACAGACACCGGACCTACGGTAGCCACTGCTGCTTTAAGAGCATCCTCGTCGCCATCAGGTAACTCGGTGTAGGAAGTAACCTTGGTTCCATTGACGATGAGGTTGTTTGAGAAGATACATTTCCCATCCTAGAGAAAACTGTCATAAAATATAAAAACTTAAACAAGGTAATTATTAATAATGAGCATTTATGACACCATTTTTCAGGCAAAATATAATGGAGGTTATCCAGGATAAGAGATGGTATATGATCAGAAAAAAAAATTACACAATGGTTTCTAATTTCCAAATAGTTATATATGAATTATAAATAGCATATCACACTTTCCTTACCATTTCGGGGAAAAAAGAAATATCGATGATGTTTGTTAATTTTGGCCTGCTAATGATATTTTTTTGCATATTTTGTTAACAAATATGGACAAACATCTTGATGGTTGCTGTAAAGTTTTCAAGTAATTAAAAAACAAAGAAAAGGAGATCGGCTTTGCAGTAGAATACGTGTTAAATGATTTTTCTACTCTTGTAGGAAATTTATGTACCTTAAAAATAATTACTTCTGAAAATGTATATATTTTAAGATAAAGGCAGATTCCGCATTATTATTATTATTTATTAATTATTTTTTTATGCGGTTTTCAAATTTTACGTGAGCCTTGAAATCTTGAAACATGAAGCTTCAAATTTTGAGGTTTCACGTTTTTCTTTTCTTTTTTGTTGATTACAGAAGTTCATTATTGATAATAATAAAAAAAAATTGGTTATAATTTAATCAGACCCACCTAAAAAAACTTCAAACGTTCCAATCAAAATTATTGCGACTCATAACAAAAGCACCTTGGTACGTGACTAACAAAACTATACATACTGACCTCCACTTTCCAACAGTTGACCAACATATAACGACCCTATATCAACGATTTTACACAAATTTAAATGGACATAATAACAGACTTATAAGAGACATACCACAGCTGACATACCTCAGAACATGAGGAGGAGACTAAAAAGGCTTGAAGGCTAAAAGGTTGAGGGATCCCCTTCCTTAGACAACTTAAGTAATTGGAACAAGTTAGGGAAGAAGTACTCCTGAATACTTTCCTTCCCCATGCCTGTCATGTCATTATATCATTATCACATTTGCTGATTGTCAACTTATTGTTGACAGGCGCAAATACATATTTTATAGAAAAAAAAAAAATTAATCAAACCATTTTTATTAAACTTATTAGGTCAATGCAATATTAAGTGATTTTTAGTTTAAGATAGGTATTCTCCTCATTTATGTTCTCTCAAGGGGTTTAAATACTCAATTTTCGAAATTGCTTCCTCTAAAATGCCTTTGATTTTGTTTATGTAATGTAATTAACCATTTAGAATTCTAACTAGTGATAAACAACAGATAAATAAAGACTATGAACGAATCCGATTATAAGCTAAAGGAGAAATGACGGGAGTCCTAGATAGATACGGTTAAAGCGAAAATAGCCGAGGAAGCCCGACTTTTCCCGGTCACCTTCCATTAAAACTACTCACGTCTGTACACGGTTTTTTTCTATTGTTGTTTACCAATATTACTGCTAATATATATCTAATAATATTAACAAATTTTTAAAAATGTTTTGGATAAAACTCAAATTTTTTACTACAGGTCTATATTTTACTAATTCTGTGCCCCGGAAGTAATGGACATCAAGTACATTTTTTTATTAAATAACTCAGTAATTAAGGAACAAATTTTAATAACAGACTTATAAGAGACATGGCCACAGCAGACATAGCTCAGAACACGAGGGGGAGACTAAAAAGGCGTTGGTTGAGGGATCTCCTTCCTTAGACAACCTAAGTAATTGGAACAAGTTAGGGAAGAGGTACTGCTGAGTACTTACCTTCCCCACGCCTGTCATGTCATTATATCATTATCGCCATCACATTTGCTGGTTGTCAACAATAAGTTGACAGGAGGTGGGCCGGGTGGCCGAATGGGCTAAAGCGTGTGCACTGCACCGCCGTTGCCCGGCAACCAGAAATATGAATCAAAGAAATAAAAATAGTCACGAGTTCGCGTCCCGGTGCCGGGGGAGTCTTTTAAATCCCCGCCCACACTCCCTAGACCGGGAAAATCCCGTATAGCCTTAACGGCGAGGAAGAGAAGGACAAAAAAAAATAAAATAAAATAAAATAAAAATAATAATAAAAAAAATAAGTTGACAGGCGAAAATATATTTTTCATAGAGAAAAAAAAAATAGCTCAAAGTTATGGAAAATCGGCTCTCTTCAAGAAATACAACAATGTGACATAGTGTCTTTTAAACATTTAAAAAAAAAAATTGTAGTAGCAAGCAATTATTTTTAACATTCGTCTATGTCCTCAAATCTATATTTTCTATGTTGATGTATTTTAAAACGGTTCGCTTTGTTTTTTATTGTAATTAATTATTTCAAATAATAATGTTATATCGTCTATAATTTTTACTTCTCTACATATGAAAACACATTTTTCTACTCACATAGAGTGGTAACTGAAAATCTTTTGATGTTTTTATTCAAAATTTTATCATAACCCGACGCCACGTTACACGAGAAAAATAAATTTTATTATAGAGGGGCGAAAAAGGAAAAAAAAAAAGGTAAAAAGGAGATGTTATCATTTAACCTAAAAAAAAAAAATTAAATTGCTTACCCTCATGATCTCCTAATTTAGATAATTTATTAGAGTACTACCAATTGTAAGATTATCTACAAGCCTTGCCATGCCATGTATTTCTCTGTATCACATTTACTAAATGTATATTTATTTGTGTACAGTTGTAAATTTCATTAATAAGAATAATAAAAATAAAAAATTTGCTTACCATCCCAAGGAAAGGATAGTTGTTCTCGCTGGCGATGCCGCCCGCTTCCTTGAGGTACTGGAAAGCACTCTCCATCCTGCCTCCATTGCATCCCTTGTTGCCGTAGAAAGAGGAGCAGTCGATGAGCTGTTGTTCGCTGAGGGCTATCAGGTTCCCGGTATTAATGAACAGTTGTCCCTCCATCGCTCCGGTCTATGGGCAAAGGTTCATTTTATCATAACTCTAATTTAAAAAAAAAAAAAACCTCTTTTATTGAATAACATTACTTTCCGTCTTAATTGCGTACAATGATAATATTGTCAGTTTATTGCAAAAAATCATTAAGTACACTTTTGGCCGAAGTTAAACGTGGAATTACGTAGTCGTTAGTTTCGATCATATATATTGGTTGATACAATAAATCATTAGATTCTTAAAAAATATACAAATCCTTTTAAATGTAAAAATAGTTTCAATAAGTGTTCTGACTTACATAAGTGAGAAAAAAAATACATTTTGCCTCAATTAAGGGCATTGAGTATTTAGGATGAATGAAGTACAATCATACCATATATACAATAAAAGAAAAACAAGATTATAACAAAATAAAATAAAATAAAACTTGGAGTAACAGAATAAATCAAACATGATACAACATTAAATAAAAACTAAAAAAAAAAAAGTATTTAGAATTGCAAATAGTGCTCTCGATCAATCTCCGCTGGCTTTAGTACCAGTGACGCGGTTGAGAGAGTAGCGCAGGGTTCTCCTAGAGTTCCCTCGCCTGATTGTATATAGGTATGCATGTGTTTTTTTTTTGTTTGCTTAGTTTTAATTTTCTTATTTTTTAGGTTATTTTATTTGATTGTCTATTGTATATACTTTTTATTATTATTTTGTTTCTTTAATTTTTTTTTTTTTTTTGTACATATAGTGTGAATGTCATCCTACCTCATTATAACCAATGTCCAAGAGACAGATTGTTGTAATTAAAAAAAAAATAATTAAATAAAATTAAAAAAAAATAATAAAAAAAATTGCAAATAACAAATAATGGATAAAATTGTTATTTTTGTATTTTTTTAATGCATCAGAAACTTCGAACTAGATTATCTCAAATTAATTGAAATGTCACTTACTGACTTTTTTTGCAATAAACAAATATTTAAATCTAGAATAGTTGAATAAATAATTATTTGCTGTTTCAAATGAAATATAATGACTTCATTCATTCATGTGTGGCACGACATCCCGTTACCGAGACTGGGCCTCCTCCAAGAGCCTCCGCCAGTTGGCTCTGTCTTCTGCTGCAGCTCTCCAGTTCCGTACACCAAGCAGGGTTCTCGCATCATAGGCCACGTTGTCCAACCACCTCGTCCTCGGCCTTCCTACCCGTCTTGCGAGGTGCAGCTCCTCCATCATTATTTTCTTGGGTATCTCAACGGTGCTCATTCTGGCCACATGCCCTGCCCACCTTAGTCTAGCCAGTTTAATATAGGTGACTACGTCGATGTCTGCATAGAGAGAACTGAGCTCCCTATTTTTTCTTTTCCTCCAGACATCACCCTCCTTTACTGGACCATAAATCCTTCTGAGGACTCCTCGCTCAAACACACTCAGCTTCATCTCATCGTGTTTGGTCATCGTCCAAGCCTCTGAGCCATATGTCAAAACAGGCCGAACAAGAGTCTTGTATATGATCAGCTTGGTCTTCTTTGAGAGGTACCTACTTCTTAAGTGTCGGCCAAGTCCATAGACACATCTATTGGCAGCCGTGATCCTTCTTTGTATTTCTTGAGCCATGTCATTTTTGCTATTAATTTCAGACCCAAGGTATATAAAATTTTTCACTCTCTCAAACTTAAAAGAACCTACCTCAAATGGAGAGTTCAGATCCACCTCACCACCAACTCTCATATACTTAGTTTTCCTCTCGTTGACTTCTAGACCAAGTGGTCTTGCAGCTGCTTCAAGGCCTATAAATGCTTCTCTGAGAGCCTGTTCAGACCTACCTATTATGTCAATATCATCAGCAAAACCAAGAAGCTGTGTCAGGCGATTGAATATAATGACTTAGTATATGAATAATTAAGCTTACAAATGAATGAATATCATATATTTCAAATGGCCAAAATCGGAAATAACAAATACAAAATTATTCGTTTTAATAAACTTTAATTCAAATAATATAAAAATATGTTATATTCAGGTTGAATGCCATAGAACAGTCTTATTACAGCTATTTATTTTACCTCTCATATAATGAGAACCTTTCGGTGTTCAACACCATATTCATATTAATTATATTAATGACATTAAAATATAACATTTTTTTATAATTAATACATTAATTATCATGATCTCACATCTATATGAAGATAATTCATATACACAAACCAAAGATTCTACACTTGTACTTCCCAGTAAAACACTTGTATAATAGCCCAGTAAAAATCGGCAAAAACTGCGCCGAAATCAAGAAAATTCATAATTGACTGTAAATGGGGGTGTTTAGGCAATTTTCCAAATTTTAATTAAGGCAAGGCAAATAACTCCCATGAGTTCTTAATAGGCAACGTTCAGATTATTGGCAAAATTCTACTTATTTATGCAGTGGGCTGTATTGTAATGAATTGCTAGGATATACGAATTGTTCAAAAACAGCTTACCATTTGTATGCTGGTATAGACATTTCTTTTACCTGAGGGTCCTCAAGTCTGCTAGTCTTCCGTGGATATTTGGGCTGGAATGGGTCGAGTGTAACGGGCGCTGGTACGGATTACATTTTATCTTTTAGATCTTCTGATCTGCCCCCACCGCAACGAGACAGCTGGGCACTATCTTTGCACAAACAGTGGGAATTAGTTCCTTATTAGAACAATTAGAACAAACCATGAAAAGCCCCCTAAAATCCTATGTCCGCTTCCATCCCAAATCGAGGGTCAAAGGGCCACATAGCACTTTCAGTCTAATTTTATGTTTTTTCTCATATTTCCATCAAAAACCATCGTTTTTGAATTCCAAAAGTACTAATATAATCGGCAAGGATTCTATTCCCATTCTAGGTCTATTCCCCTAAGGATTCTAGGCCCATTCCCCTAATTTTAGATTCTATCCAAGTTTACCTGATAGAAAAATGATAAAATTGATGTAAATTGATCTATTTGGCGTTAATAAATAGAATTTTTCTTGATTTTAGTTCAGTTACCCTTCATGACTTAGTAACTACTGACAAATGAGAAATAATTTTTCTTATATTTTTTGTAGTCCTTATTAAGTGAAATGTTCGAAAAATTGTATTTTTAATGTTTGCTGAAAAATGGTGGAAATAAGTTATTTTTTTATAAAAAAGACACGATCTCAAAGCTGAATTTCCAGCTGACTTTTCGAACTGGATAGCTAGTTATAGACTAGGAGCTATGCACAGTTTCATTTAACCGAAGGGCTTACAGTTATTAATCATTTTTAACTGTAGATAAACCTCATCTGAGCTAAACCCTTTTCCAGGTTAAAGGGATTGGTAAACTGAGGAGGGCATGAAAGACCTAATGGGCTGACGGTATAGCATCCAAAGCCAAAACTATTTTGAGTGCCTAGCGATGTTTATTTGTTTGAATTTGTCACATCATCAACTTATATAAGTATTATTATATTTAATATTAATCCTGAATTATAAACATTAAATAATTTATTTCACTCACCGCGCTGAATGACCAGCATCCGTTACAAGTACCTTGGCTTTTGACTGCTGTCACTGCTCCTATGTTCCTCCAGTCCATCGAGTTCGGTAAATTCGCATTCAATGGGTATTCGAACTTCTGGCCGAGGTTGCTGTTGGTCGTTGGCGAGTTCTTTTGGTAACCGTTAAATTTAGCAGAAAACTCTTCTGGACTCTAAATAAAAAAAATGGTTAGATATACCTATAATTATCTAAATGAGTTAAATTCTACATTAAGTCTTATCGATGTTGGGAAATAATATATATCATGATATGAAGGCAAGCATTTTAAGATAGACGGGTGAATGAATGTTCAAACTTTCAGTCTTTTAAGAAAAGTCACAATGTGAATTGATGCATAATTTATAAAATGACTTCCAATTTGTATTGGGTGGGAGTACTTTCTTCCTGCTGCAAACAGCGGATTATTTCATGTTTCTTTTTAACTTATGTTTAAATGGGTTCCAGCGATACTGATATGAAGAACTCATAGCCCTAGAGCCAGTGCCCAAAAATCGACCTCATCGCAGGCTCGATAAGGTTCGATTAACAATTACGAAAGTGTATGTTATTCTGAGTAATAATAACCTTGTCTGCCGTTCTAGAGTCACTGCTTCCGAAAATGGTGGCTGATTTAAAGAATATTAGGTCAGTAATCTGAGGATCGAAGCGGGAAATCCATTGTGAAAAATGTTAGAAACGCTTTTATTATTTTTATTTGTATATATGGGCTTAGACATGTAAACAACCAAAACGCAAAGGTGCCCATTCCCCAAAGTTCGATGGCGCATGCCCTGCACGTTCGAAAGAAAATCCGAAAAAAACTGTGAGTATAAACAATGACATCCGCTGTAGTATATTAAATACTTCCCCCCTTGCTTTCTGTTTTGGAATTTCCTCCGCATTGGATTCTCACAATATTTAGTACCCTTCAAACATTCACAACTCTATCAAAATATGCTTTTCTCAAAAATTAAAGCCCTTTAAAAAATGTATTCCCTAAAAAATATTGATAGCGCAACTGTTTTATAACTCCCTTCTGGACACCCTTGGAAAAACGTTTTTTTATGTGTCCCAACCACAGTGTATAAATAATTTCTACTGGAAATGTGGTATTTTAGGTAGAATTAATGAGGAATGGGGTATGCAAACTCAGTTTTTGCTTGGGATGATGTGTTTCTCAGATGATTAATTCAAACCCCTCCCTTCTCAGGGGAGGGGGAAAGGTACACCCAGCGAGCTACAAAGGTTTTATATTATATAAAAATCTTCTGAAGATTAAATTGCATAATATGGCATTGAAAGATCCTCAGTCTTGATCAAAAAAGTGGCACTGAGGCACCCAAAATTGAATATATAACGTTACATATATATAGATACTTACATACATAACGCTGTACTCCGTTCAACATATTTTACTAAGCCTTGGAAACTATCTATAGTCAAAATGATACATAAACCCAAAAAGCCACCAGAATACCCATCCTCTTACCGTCCTCTCTCTCTTTTACTCACCATCGGAAAAATCATGGAAAAGCTCATATTAAACGCCCATTCTAGAGTCTAACCATAATCTCTGATCGCCACATCCTACTCCACTATCCAATAATGCCATCGTGTGACAGACGTTGTCTCCTCTGCATTAGAGCACAGTACTCAATGTGCACTGGAGTCTTTCTCGGCGTTGAACAGGCGTTTGTTCGAGTCTAGCACCCGAGACTTCTTTAACAACTCCGTACATTCCTTCCCTCTATATACTTTCTCATAATCAATTTATACCAGACTGATAGACAAAGTAAATCACAATAACACTTATTTATCCATCTTTTCTCAATCTGTCGGTGTTCTTCATTGTAATATCCTTGGTCCTATCCTTTACACAGTTTATAAACTACGTATGCCGATGATATATGTATCCTATCAGTTAATAACGATCCATCAATTGCATCCCAATCACTTGAATCACACATCACAAACCTTGAAGAATGGTGTTAAAGCAGATGGATTAAAATAAATTCCAATTCATCCCGACAAATCACTTTTAGCCTTCTTCGTAAACATATGACTTTCTGTCTAACAGTATCCTTTAATAACACCACACTTATCCCTGTTGAACAAATCCGATACCTAGGATAGGAAACTGCTCGAGGTTTCCGCTTAATCCAATAATTACTAGACAAACACTCTAACCTTCCAATTAATTACAAAAGACTTATATACATGGCTATAATAAGACCTATTTGGGCTTACGGAGTTGAGTTATGGGGCTCCACTAAAACATCAAATTCCACTCGTATCCAATCCTTACAATCCAAAATCCTCAATGCTCCTTACTTTGTCACACATAAAATAATACATAAAGAGGTTTATGTTCCATATGTTTCTGACTTGGCCCAATCCAGATATCTATCCTTCCATAATAAACTTCATAACCATCCAAATGCTCTCGTTTCTAGCCTTGCTTCCTCTTCGATTCCTGACAACCCTCCAAGGCGTCTGAAAACAAAATGGCCTTGTGATCTCCTCACGAAGACATATTATTAGAGTGCTACCAGTGGGTAGTTTTTCAACAAGCGTTTTCATGTGATCATATTCCTCCTATTTGTATTTGCATTACATTTTCTGGATACAATTTAAATACTTTGTGATTAAAATACATTGTATTTAAAAACTCAAAATATATGGGATCTTAAATAATGTTTATTAAAATAATATTTTAAATAAATTTCGTTAAGGTCTGATTTAAATATATTAATTCGATATGATGGTATCTAATGACTTCATATATATATTTCTAATAAGTCTAACTATATATATAATAGAAAATACCAATTCTATACAAGATTTTATCTATTATATAATAAGTGATAGGTACACCATTGGATAGTTAAATTAGTACTGTTTAGTTTTTGACCAAAAAATATAAATTTTTCAACAATCCAAGCTTTTGAAAGAGAGGCAAGCTTAATTTTGCTCTTCCTTACTGCATTTTTCACCAATAAAAGTCGATACTGGTTTTCGAATATTTTTGGTAATATACATTAAAATTAATATTATCTCATTACAATAACTCTTTTAACAACCATAAATAAGCCCAAAATATTCAAAAAGTCTTCTGGTTTCAGCTCTAGCATAGAATATTAATTAGGAATATTCGAAATTATTATTTATATGTACTAATTAACAACGCTGAAAAAACATTTACTATAATTTACCAAATCTCCAAATTTGTTAATCTTCAAACTATATGCAACTTCACCCTTTGCGTATTTGGCATTGTGCTCTTCAATCTCCTTTATATTTTCCCTGAATATAGACATTCTTAAATTTTCTTCATAGGCACTAGCGTACTTTTTTTTATGCTCTGCCTAAAAAGTTAAAAAAATAAATTAATAATATTACCATGAATGTTTGCGTTTGTTAACAATTGATTTTATAACATATTACATTCAGGATTTTTAACCTTATTAAGTTGTTTAAAAACTATTTATTACATTCATTTTTGAAGCCAAGGAAAATTATAAAATCTTTTATTATTTTCCTATCGCTACTGAGAAAAGAATTTATATTCATATTTAGTATATATATATGTATATATATATATATATATATATATATATATATATATATTATATATATATATATATATATATATATATACTACAATTATGTATATCTGAATATATAATTGGAGCAAGTTTAAAGTATTAAGTACGATACGAAATAATTGTGTCAAAGTTTCAATGTGCAATTTTCTACATATCTTTATGTGCATCGAAGTCGAATAACCAATAAATGGCTATAAATGAAACATGTATTAACTTCATGTAATATAGCTGATTTAGCCCGAGCGAGATATCTATCCTTTCAGGATAAAATCCAGTCCCATCCGAATCCACTGGTTTCCACTCATGCTTTTTCCTCGATTCCTGATAATCCGCTTAGACGTCTGAAAAGGACCTTCTTACCTAGAATTATTCAGGGAGTGCTACCACTGGGTAGTATCTTTTCAAGCCTGTTCATGTCCTTATTTCGAATTTGTGCATATTTACTAGTTGTATTTGTATACAGTTGTAAATTTCATAAAAAAAATAAATAAAAAAAAAACAGTTCATGTAAGACTATACATACATACAATAATATGCATAAATATATTGAAAGAAACAAAGACGATATTCTGATAAAAATATAATTAATATTACATTTTAAATGATTACCTTAAATGATTTCCACTGTTCGCTTATTGGCGAATCAGCTGCTGTCAGGCCGAAACATACGGTTATTAAAAAAACGATCTTCATTATACTGAAATAAAAAAATAATTTTCAGCACGATTCAAATTATATGTAAATTACTTTTGTTTTACTTAATTACTTAATTTAAATATATAAATTACTAAATTAAAAAAAAAATTGCTCTTGGAGCCGTTAAATTTAAGTTAACGTTAAATAGTAATTTTTAAATGTTTATAAAATTGTTCTAAATGTAAAATAAAAGAGATTAAAAAGCGGTTTTGATAAATACATAATTATATATAGATTAAATATAATAATCTCAATTACTTTCTCTACTTTCCTACCTATACTACGTAAGTAAAGTATTCGGTAAGCAATCGGGTCAAATTTCCGATATGTAGTTTTCGACGGATCTATACGTTTCAGAGCCTCCTGAGTCCGAAAAACACACTTTTACAGAAAATGTAAAATAAACAGAAACAAAATAATAACTAAGAGATCAACGATAAAATCGTGACGCTGCTTATTACTGTGTTGAGTTGCTAACTAATACAGCGTACTAATCTGCTAAATACAACAAAAGGTTGTGGGCACACTACCGTTTTAACTTTTTTCGGAGGATTATAGGGTAGGATGATATATATAAATTGTGCAAGGGTTATTGAGGGTTCTAGTGAAATATCTAATTTTTTTCTAGAATAAGGACTAGGACAAATGGGATGTTAAGGTCATGGGGTAAGTTTTGTCGATAAAATAGAACGGAGCATCAACTATTTTTCGAAGGACTATAGACTGAAAGGAATGGGTGCATTTGATGTTAGAAAATCTTGCTTTCCCCCACATTTCTAGTCTGTAGGTCCAAATAGGTTTCAGGATTGTCTTGTAAATCAGTTAATTGTTGTCGATTGTAAGTTAAGATTTTCTTGTCAGTAATCTCTATATTTGGCCGTTTCGTCAGTTAGGTTTTTATTTTTTGTGTATACTATGTGGGTTACACATTATTCTTCTGTCTAAAAGGAAGCCAAGATACTGGATTGTTTCTGAGAACGGAAACGATATACAGTTTGTTACACGGGCGGATCTACGGGAGGGGGGCATTCGGGCTGAAGCCCCCCCCCCCCCAAAATGGTTAAATACAACCATGTTTTATCGAAAAAAATATTTAAAAATGATCTCTTAAAGTATAATTATTTGTGTTATTACATTTAAAAGGACTTTAGGAATCGCTTAAACACTAGTCCATATAGGTAGTTAGTTTCTTTCTTACTTTCCAAAGTAATTATCGTCATTTTTATGAAAAAAAATGCTTTCTGGTTGAAGCCCCCCCCCAAAAAAAAATTAAATCCTGGATCCGCTAGTGGTTTGTTGTATATTGGCAGACAGGATTTGCGTCGGAATGTGAAAGTGATATGCTTGAACTTTGATTCATTCACTTTAATGCCCCAATTATTACACAAATGTTCAATTAAAGGGAGATGCTTTAGTAGATTGAAGAATGCTATTCCAGAACGGGATTTAGTTGAGAATATGAGGGTGCCATCAGCAAATGTTGGCAAGAAGGTGTCGGGATGGAGAGGGATAGGATTTTAAGCTTGAAAAGGAGCCTGGTGAGCCATACTTACTCACTTACTATGTAGCTCTACAGCCCAGGGTGGGCCTTGGCTTCCTGAATCATTGCATGCCAATCGTCTCTATTGCTCGCTCTTTCCAATTTCTCACGCCCAGTGTTCTAAAGTTCGCTCTAATGTTCGCTCTCAACATCTTGTAGCCATTTTTTTTTTTTTTGGTCTTCCCCTTCTTTTTGTGCCATAAATTGTAGAGAACAATGCCCTATAAGGCATCATGCTGTGGTCCATTCTAACCAGGTGACCTAACCATTCCATACGCCTATTTTTAACGAAATTAACTATGTTGGGGCTGTTATATAATTCATATAGCTCCGCATTTTTTCTATATCTCCACACACTCTCTTCACAAACAGCTCCATAAATTTTTCCCAATATTTTTCTTTCAAAAATATTCATCATACTAATTGTGCTAGTACAAATGGTCCATGTCTCCGCTGCATAAGTCACAATAGGTCTTACTAAAGTCTTATATAGTCTTATCTTTGTTTCTCGTGACAGGAGCGATGATCGAAAACATTTTAGGTTGGCATGGTTTGTACGGTTTCCAGCCATGATCCTCTTGTACACCTAAGCAGCAATTTTATTTTCAGAATTCACTTCCACCCCCAGATATGTGAATTTTTTGACACATTCGAAGGTAAGACCACATATTTCAGTGCTCTATGGACCAGCCTCATTGTCGACCCTGACATACATGTATTTTGTCTTATCTTGATTGATTTCCAGCCCTACATTTTCACCTACGGCTTTCAATATTGCAAAGATTTCTTTTATTAATCTTAAATTCCTGGTAATTAGGCATATATCGTCTGTGTAAGCACATATTTGCACCATTGCGTTAAGTATGCAACCAGGTGCATCCAGTTTTTTCAACACACATTATTAAGTGCAATATTAAATAATGTGGCAGACAAAGCATCCCCTTGCCTAACCCCATCCGTCATTGGGAAGCTATTGCTTACTTTGCCTTTAATAACTACTTTTGCATTGCTATAATTCATAGTCATTTGCAATAACCTTATTAATTTTTTTGGAATTTGGGACTCATGTAAGGCATTTATTAATTTGCTTCTTATTACTATATCTAAAGCTTGCCGGTAATCTATGAACAGTATATGTAGGTCAATCTTATATTCCCAGGCTTTTTGCATTATCTGCCTCATCACAAATACCTGATCAGTTGCTGCTCTCCCCTTCCGAAATCCACACTGGTTTTCCTCCAGTATGTTCTCGGCAGCCTGGTGAGCCATATTCGGTCAAAAGCTTGCGCCAGTATTGCTCATATTCCAGAGCTGAGGAAATATGATCAACCATTCAAAGTTCTTGTTGGACTGAGGAATTTTTCGAACAAAATCTGAACTGATGGGGCAGACGATTATGGAACTCTATGAAGTGTAGAGAGGTGTTTTCAAGAATTTTTGAAAGTATTAGAAGAAGGCTAATTGATCTATAGACTGTCAAGCTGCTGGGAGTTTTATATGCATATTACTAATATTGATAATTTAATATTGATTAAATTGATGAAAGTTATTATTTATAAGCAAGTGTGTCTAAACGAATTTCTCCTAGATCCTTCTCAATATCTCAACATCCCTCATTTCCTGTTTTTTCTTAGCCGAACTTGGAACAATTTCTATATGGGTATTACAGGTGCACAAACAGCAGCAAACTAGAGGACTGCTGTTGAATGGGTAGATGAAAAAACCTCATATGTCACGGTCAACAACAAAATCTTCCAAAATAGATCTCTCCGTAACACCTGCCGTAAATTCGCAAGTTTCGATCCAACATTGCCTTAATGAGCCAAGATTTTATCTGAAAAGTAATAGATAATTATCCTCTGTCTCAATACTGAGGTACTGTAGAATTCAATTCTTGATAATCTTTTCATGATACAATCCTATCTTACGTCTAGCGTCATAATGACAGAGAATTTCATGTCAACCCTTTGTCCTGAATAATAGCTTGTAAGCAATCCATAAGTGATGTGCACATAAGATATATATTATTAAAATTATTTAAGACTACTATATTCTCGTTGATCTGTTGCAATAATTTATTTTGCTATTCACAAAACTAAATGGTTCAGTGGCGGCAAAAATTCGATGCAAAGTCAGACGGATATCCATCGGGAATTATAGGGAAACCTATAACTTGAACGTTTTTAGTTGAATTTTGTATGTATATTTCCCAAAGTTTGTTTTAATTTTATCTTTTTTCACTAAAAATAGTTTTATCTTATTCATTTTTATTTTCTACCGTCATTTTAGTAATATCGAGCTGGAATTTTCTCTAACTATTTGGTTTTTCCTTTCAATTTATTTTAATTATAGCCATCCTTTCATTTACTTATTTTTTTCTATATATTATATATTATATATATATATATATATATATATATATATATATATATATTATATATATATATATATATATATATATATATATATATATATATATATATATATATATATATATATCTGAGGCTCAAAAGCCCACATTTCTGTCCTTGTTAATTATTCTAAAGGGATTCGTCCTAGTATAAAGAAAAGATTATTATTAAATTGTTAATAAATTATTGATTTCCTGAACCATCTCTGCTGGGTCCGAAACAAATGAGCCTATAAGTTATAAGTTTGTAAAACTGTTCTTTTCGGTATGATCGAAGCACAAGATGCTACTTTTCCAATGGTCTGGACAGATATCTTCAATAAGAGAATAGTTGTATGCGATTAGAAAACATTCTGGGCTTGACTTAAATCCCAGTTTCAAATTTTACATTAACTCTAAGTCTAAATTAGAAATCACAGTATGAAAATTGAATCCAAACTTAGGTTTTATTAGTACGGCATTAAGTTGAACGATTGACGAATCATACAAATATCCGTGGCCTCAAGCAAAGTCAGGGAAGACTTTTAGCAGGTGCTGTATGGAAGTAATCTTTATATCTATCGATGGTTCCGTATTTTAGTCGCCTGATGTTCTATAAGCCATCACATGCATGGAGTGCAGTTGCTGATTTAACCGACAGTAAGCTCAGAATATATCACTATATTTTGTGTCCTCAGTCTTTAGAAGAGGTAAGGTTGGATCCAGACATTGTCTTTAGATGACTACAAAAAATAAATAATAATAAAGAGAGACAGAAATAGGGATCTATTTTCATTTATCTTCCGAATATTCCGAAGTTAAGGTCAAATATGAAAGGAATCCCACTGTTTCACGAGTTTTTGGTTCTGAAGACTTCGAAAAGGAAAACCAACCAAGCAGGAATTGTCGTCGAGTAGTAGGATGAAGCCACTTCAACTCGGTGTACCAGAGTGAAACATGTGAACACCTAGGAATCCCTAAGATGTATCTTATGAAACAATTCATGATTCTTCTTCAGTCTCATTTCTAGCCTGGCATAGCCCTCCATACAACAAACAGCCGTAGTCAAAGT